GATGGCCAACAGGCACATGAAAAGATGCTCCACATTGCTAATCATCAGAGAAATGCAAATTAAAACCACAATGAGATATCACCTCACACCAGTAAGGATCGCCATCGAAAAGACAAACAACAACAAATGTTGGCGAGGTTGTAGAGAAAGGGGAACCCTCCTACACTGCTGGTGGGAATGTAAATTAGTTCAACCATTGTGGAAAGCAGTATGGAGGTTCCTCAGAATGCTCAAAATAGAAATACCATTTGACCCAGGAATTCCACTTGTAGGAATTTACCCTAAGAATGCAGCACTCCAGTTTGAAAAAGACAGATGCACCCCTATGTTTATTGCTGCACTATTTACAATAGCCAAGATATGGAAGCAACCTAAATGTCCATCAGTAGATGAATGGATAAAGAAGATGTGGTACATATACACAATGGCATATTACGCAGCCATAAGAAAATAACAGATCCTACCATTCGCAACAACATGGATGGAGCTAGCGGGTATTATGCTCAGTGAAATAAACCAAGCGGAGAAGGACAAGTACCAAATGATTTCACTCATATGTGGAGTATAAGAACAAAGGAAAACTGAAGGAACAAAACAGCAGCAGACTCACAGAACCCAAGAATGGACTAATAGTTACGAAAGGGAAAGGGACTGGGGACGATGGGTGGGAAGGGAGGGATAAGGGTGGGGAAAAAGAAAGAGGGCCTTACAATTAGCATGTATAGTGCCTGGGGGGCACGGGGAGGGCTGCGCAACACAAAGACAAGTAGTGCTTTTACAGCATCTTACTACACAGATGGACAGTGACTGTGAAGGGGTATGTGGGGGGTACTTGGTGAAGGGGGGAACTTAATAAACATAATGTTCTTTCTGTAATTGTAGATTAATGATACAAAAAAAAAACATTTCCTGGAAACCTCTGTATCTTTTTGGGAGAAACACCCATTAAATCTTAAAGCCTCACCCATGCCTGTCTGTTCCAGGAAACTCTGGAGGAGGCAAGAGTAGGCCTTAGGTTCTGGTCTTGAGACGTGTCAGGACACCCATGTTGAGAATGTGGACATATTCCATGGTCTTCATGATGCGGGGAGCATTGTCCAGGTCAAGTGTGAAAACTGTCCAGTTAGCTTGTGAACCGGTGCGGCCTCTGGCCACACACTTGGTCCTAACAGCCTCCCAGAGGTTGAGCAGTACTTCAGCAATCACTGGTGCAGCCCCTCATCTTAGAGGTAGGGACCTGGAGATCCAGGGAAGGGAAGTGGCCTGCCCAAGTCCCACAGCTAATGAGTATTTCCCATAAATCACCTCTGACCTCAGTGTCTCCTTTGTGATTTAGGAAGGCCCTTTTTTAGGACTTTGCGGCAGAAGTATGGAAGCCAAGGTAGAGGGTTATTGCTACCTCGGATGTCCTCATTTGTTTCCAAGAAGGGGCTTGAATAAGCGGCGGGACCAGCCCAGGCAGCTCTCTGAGGAAGAGGAGCTGAGCTCAGGTGGAGGAAAGACAGAGAGGGGAAGTAGTGGGTACTTGGTCATCACAGACCCAGACTGACTGCCTGACCAATCTGCTTCTCATCCCTTTGCCCACCAGCCTTTGTGGAATTTACTGGGATATATTTACTACACAGTATGCATATCAGAAAATAAGAAGGAACACCAACTTAATATGATAAAATAAGAGGGCTAATGTAGGTATCAGGAAACTACACGCTAGTTCCATCTACACTATTATCATTTAGCTGTGCTATTAGGCAAGTCACTTAACGTCTCTGGGTTTGCTTTTTTATTAAATAAAGGGTTCAGCCTAATAATTCGAAAGTCCCTTCCAGCTTTATTTTATAATTCTGTGAACTATAATTCCAAGGTTTTAAAGGAAAACTTGCCCTTAAGCCCTCATGAATCTTGAAAACACACACGTTTTCATGTGCCAGATCAGAGTAACAGTTGGGGCCCCAGCCCTGCCAGCAGCCAGTTGTGTTCTCTTGAGGAGAAAATTGAAGTTTCAGGTACCCCTGGCACATCCTACTGAAGGGGAATTGGCCAGAAACTACAAGTATTGGTGGCTCCCAGGACCCCTGTGAGTCCCACAGTGTAGAAGCACCTGGGCTGCACTGTCCTGATTAGGAGGAGTGCAGGGCATAGACACTTCAAGGTGCAGGGCACCTCGGGCTACATGCTGGTGGGCAAGGAAGCACCTTATTGTTTGTTTGTATACAATTTGTATAGCCTTCTGTGCACCTTCCATCCATTAGTTCCCTCCATCAACATGACGAGCATGCAAAGAGGTAGAGCAGAGATGTTCTATGAATCTCTATTTTCTAGCAAAAGAATGTGAGGATCAGAGAGGTAAAGGCTTCTGGGCAAAGCTGGGTAGATAGTAAGTGGCGAAGCCAGGCCCAAGACCCACATCTCCTGGCAACTAGCCTAGCAGTGGGCTCCTTACAATGGCAGTTCTCAGCCAGCAACACACTCCAGAGTCACCTGGGTGGATGTAGATACCCAGGCCCACCCCGAACTACTGAACTGGAATCTCAGGGGTGGGGCCATGTCAGCACCAGCCACAAAAAAGATGATGCTGGCTTCCTACTCAGTATTCAAAGGTGTTTAAACACAAACATGAGGCATAAAGAGAAGTGAAATTTTAAATGGGAACTCAGAAGTGGCCAGGTCTGATTTCCTCTGCTGTCTTTTAGCCAGCTCCCTGAACACAGCTTTGTGGTATATTTTACTCAAAGCAGCACTTCTCAGGCCCAAGCGGACTGTGGAAAGAAACGAGGCATTCAGATCTCAATTCCAGCTTTTCACTGCTTTTTAATAAGTGGGTTTTACAAGAATATTCCTGAGAATGAATGAACACCAGGTTTAGACCCTCTGTTAATTATGTTGCTACCATATTCTTGGTCCCATATTTATTTTTAGACTGAAAAAAAAAAGGAAGGGGCAATATTATACAAGTAAATATGATAATGAAGTAGGCAGTGCTTGAAGGTATAAATACACTGCTGCTGACCTCAGCTACCCATCTTGAGGCAAGGCTGATACCTAGGAACATTTGTGAACAGCTACTGAGGCTGGTGTTGTGCTTAGTATTTCCTATAGGTGATCTAAATTACTCCTCAGAGCAATTCTGTGGAGCAGGTTGTGGGATAATAGAAAATGTAAACTCTAGATGACAAACCCTATCTCATAGAGTTTTGTAAAGATGAGTGACTTCACTCCACCCAGCATGGCACTTGTGCTGGGGTCTGCAGGACCAACCCCAGGTTCGGTGATTCACTGGGAGGATGTAGTCATACTCACAGCTATGATTGATTAAAAGCAAAATCAGGAAAAGGACAAGAATCCACAGGAGACCAGGAGCAAGCCCCCGTGAGTCCTCTCCCAGGGGAGTCACACAGGATCACTTAACTCCTCCAGCATTGAAGGGTGCAACACGAAAGGTTGCCAGCCAGGGGAACTCATTAGAGATGCGGTACTCAAGGTTTTTACTAGGGACTGATCATGCAGACACTGTCGGTCTAGCACATACCAAAATTCCAGAATCACAGAGGGGGAGCTGGTGTTCCGCATAAACCATATTGTTTGCACAAACAGTTTAGGCACAGTGAGTCATCTGAAGGGATTGGTGGGAACCCTCTCAACATCCAGGTTCCCATATACTAGCCATGGGCTAACCTTTAAGCAGCACCTTCCAAGAGTAGCAGTCTCAGGCCTGCTGTGTTGACTCTTTTCTGCACAGCCCTCAAAATTTACTTCCTTTTTGATTTTGAGAGATGGAAAGCTGAGTCTCATAGAGTCGGGGTGGCCTTCCTAAGGACACACAGCAGGTGGCCAGGCCAAGATCTGGAATCCAGGTGTTAAAAAAGACCCTGAGAAAAATCTTTGTGGAACCAAAAGGCTCTGTGCAATTCAGTGCTGTCAAATAGAACTTTTCCGCGATAACAAAATATTCTCTATCTGCACTGTCCAATATCATAGCTGCTAAGCACATGTGGCCCGTATGGCTAGTAGGACTGAGTTTTTAATTTTACTCAACTTTTAATTAATTTAAAAGTAAATCGTTCCATGTGGCTAATAGCTACCATGCTACCATACAGCACAATTGTACATCAGAATGTAATGGATTTTCTTCTCAGAGGAGGCAGATGGGATACTTTGGTTCTTGTTCTAAACTAAGGAATGCACTGATCTGTGTGCGCCTCTGAATGGATATCCTCGTGTATGTGCAACATCGGAAACTACCATGTAATATTTGCAAATTCCCTGGGAAAAGCCCCTTTTCGTTTGCTTGGCTTTTTGTTAGTAAAGAATAGGAAGGAACTTGTCCTTCCCAAAATAAAGCATTAAAGCAGAGCCCACAGGGGATTCTGAGGCCCGTCCTAGTGAAGCACCTTTGGACCCCATGCTGCCTCCTCTCAGGAGTTTGACATACACAGCAAGTTCTCAGGTCTGTGTGTTTCTGATAGATGGGGTGTGCCAGTAAGTCAACGCTTTATACCTGCTTGTACCTTCTCTGTCTGCGTTGGATGAAGTGTTTATGAGCAAATACCCAGATGCCTAGAGGAGACATTTTAAGAACCTATATAGAATTAGATAACTGAGCCTCACCCTCGTGTTCATCTTAATCCCAGAGGGTGATGAGGTCCACAGGTGGCCCACGAGGGTGTCTGGAGATGGCCAAGGAGAGCTAATGGGTCGATATGTTGAAGAGGCTGGAGAACTATCATGGACTATGCAGACCAGCTTTACAGTGAATTAACCTTAGTTAGAATCCTGGTTCTAATACCTTAGGAAATTTATTGAAGCCCACTGAGCCTGTCTCCTCATCTGTAAGGTGGATGGAAAATTATTGTGAAAATTAAGTGTAAGCATCAATATTAGCTGCTGCCTCTGGGTTATGATTGCTGTTCCTACCAGAGGGCCACGCTAGGTCATGACAGGAAACAGAAGGCAAGAGCGTGGGTTGCCACTAACCTGGGATCCCCTTCGTTCCAGCAATTCCCCTTCTGTTTGATGTCTGTGAACATTACCCGCATTGCAATCCAGGCCTTAAGGGAGGAGTGTCTCTCCAGGTGAGTCCCCCACTGCTTCCCACCCCAGCGGCTGACAGGGACCAGCTGTGCCTGGTCCCCTCCCACTGCTGCCTCATTCTCATTGTCCCTGGCTCTCTTCCTTACCTGCTGGCTGCTGGGGGACACTGCTTGACAAAGTCCCTGTGGGCTAGTCTCCTGGCCTATCTCTCCTCCTAACCCTGACCTCTGATGTGAAGGCTGCCTGGGGAGTGGCTCCCCTGGGGAAAGAGGGCAGACAGCCCCCAGGTTGGCTTCTGTTCAGTGCTGAGCAGATCGTCTCCCTGTCCTGCAGGGAGTGTAATCGTCAGCAAAAGGTGATCCCCGTGGTGAACCGCTTCTATGCTGCCACTTTCCTCCGCCTCGCCCATGTCTGGAGGATGCAGCAGAAAACCATCTCAGACTCAGGCTTTGTCCTCAAAGGTAAGCTCTTCTGGGGAGGCCTGGCTCCTGAACTCCAGGTTCAGGGACCCCAGGATGGTGGCTGAATGGGGCTGTAGTTCCCTCCCCCAAGCCCCCATTCACACCTTCTCAAGTTCCAGCTTCCCGAAGTGTCCACTGGCCCACCCTCTGGAACCTGCCAGCCCTCCTTCTCTGCCATCACTCTCCTCCTTTTCTGTCCTGATACCTGTGCTGACCATGTTTTCTGAATCAAAAGCTGGGCCCAAAACAGTGGGGCTGACTACTCAGAAGCTGAGATTGTCCTGGCCTGGGTATCACGTGTGGTGCCTGTGCTGTATCTCATTTCTCCGTCTCCACCTCTGGCGATCTCTCCATCTTGGAGGACTCCTTCACCTACCCCTCTGTCGGATCTGGGTTTGGGGTGCTCCCCAGAGTGCGAGGCCCTGAGTGTGGTGCAGTCCAAAGCCCCCTCCAGGCTTTTCTTCCCCACTCCTCTCTGTTCCAGACTTGGAGGCGTTGGCCAAGAAGAGCCCGAGGCGGCTGCTCAAGACCCTGGATACCTACTTGGCCAGAGCGTCAAAGGGACAGGCCTCCTTGTTGGGAACACAGAAGTGCTCTGAGCCACAAGCCCCTCACTCCAAAGATCTCACCTTCACAGGCGTGTGTGACTTACCATCACACTCACCCAAAGGCACACGGCTGATCTGACCAACCCCAGAGGTTCACCAGATGGAAAGACTTAAGACTGGGCCACATGGGCTCTCGGAGGGCACATGGCAAATCATGTGAGGAGTACCCTGGCTGGGCCAGGCCCAGTCCTGTCTCATCAGAAGGGGTGTAGGAAGGTCCTCGGCCTGGCTGCTGAAGCCAAGGACCCTCACCCACATGAGACATTAAGCACACTTAGACTGCCCCACTCCCCACAGACCTCCACAGCCGTACTCTGAGTGGGGGTCAGTTCACAGAGTCAGGTCCCAGGTAATCTCAAGGAGAGGGGAGGGAGGGATCATGAGGTGGGAGAGCCCCACCTGCATGCCCCATGTGCTCTCACAGTGAAGGCTAGCCCAGGCAGAGGTGCCAGAATTCTGACTCTGGGCAGCAGGGTGGTAAGGCCCCTGGGTGCCCGTAAGACAGGGACTGGACAGAGACCCTGTAGTCAGAATTTGAAGGGAGAAGCAGTAATGGCAGTCAGTGCAGCATGAACCAACAAGCTTCAGCAGGGCCACCCACCTTCCAGGAGCAGGGACCCTGGGGGCAACATTTTCCTACCCACTCTGCCCAACCCTCCTCCCACTGCTGATGCAGAGCCAGACGTGCTCTAGGTATCTCCCTTGCTGCCCATCCTAACCACCCTTCAGCTGGGCTCGGCCCCCAATCCCACCCCCGGAGGCCCATCAAGGATGGTTTTTGGCCTGGTTGAGGGAAGGAGGAAAACCACACAACAGCAATTTTTGAATAAAGAACTGTTCCAGGTTAAGGGTCCCAAGTGTTTTTCTCTAAGACAAGCCTTGCACCTTCCTGGAGCCAGGCAGAGTAAAGGCACTGGTCATGAGCACCAGGAGAGAAGGTTCCTCTGCTCTGGCTAAATGCTTGCTGAGTCACATGATGTCCATCTTGCACTTAGACCCAGAAACTCCTTGCACGCTTGAGCCAGTGGGTGAGGTGGCCCTGGCTCTTCACAGTGACTCATATGAGGCATGCACACTGGGGTTTTCCTACCTTTGCTTCTGGGGAAGCTAGCCTTCTCGCCCCTATCTCCCCAGACCGGGGGATCCTGAGCTGGGGAGCAGGGAGCAAGCAAAAGCCCAACTATGCTGCTCTGTCCCCCATCCTCCCTCAAGGAGAGGCACGAAGACCACTGTCTAGCACCTGCAGGCCTCTGGGTCTGACCTGCTGGAGGTGGGGACAGCAGATGGTCACCCAAGGATAGCAGAGAACTCCCCAGTGCTGCCAGCAGGTGGACTCAACAATGGGGCTGCTAACAGACTGTGCAGTCTGCCTAGTGTCATCTTTGCCCAGCCTGAACTACTCCTCTGTACACCTCACTTCCTCTAGTCTGGTGCTTGGCTGACCAGCAGAGGGGGCAGGGGGCTTGCTGGGCCTGGTGGAGCTGGGCCACAGAAAGGCTGCAGCTCAGGCTCTCCTCTGAGAGGCAGGTGGAGTGGCTCCTTCCCTGCAGATTCTTCTCACTTGCTCAGCCTGAAGGCTAACTCGGCAGACCTGACCAGGACCACTCAGCCCACAGCACAGCCAGGGACCAGTCCCCGGGGCCTCTAGCTGGAGGGGAAGCTTGCAGCCCCTATAGGAGCCCTTTGCTCCTGCGGCCCTCTTGTGTAATGTGTGCAGCTTTGAACCTGGGGAATCAGCAATAACATAGTTCAGAGATATAATAACAAGCTGCAGTCATACTGGTGGAGTGGTTGGGGGATGGGGGTATCTAAACCCTCCGAAAGTTGATCATTAATCTTAATCTGTGCGTTTTTCTTGGGAAAGGCCTACCTAGGCCTCTCATGGGGAGACTTAAAATCCTTCACAACCCCCAAAACGTCAGAACCAGGGGTTTGGTGTGGCCCTTACTCTCTCCCCTTTTAAAAATCATCCCTGGCCAGTGCTGTTTGTGCAGGCTACCCAGGGACCACAGTGCTCTCTTCAGGGGAGGGAGGGATGGGGGGAGATATGCAAGGGAGCTGATTTTTCTGTGCTGCTTGACAAAATCAGTAAGATGAATAAAGCATATCAGAGCTCAGAAGCCACAGAACCCTTAGGCCCAGGGGTGAGGATGGGTCAGGACAGCTGCAGCCCTACCCTGCCCATTGGACCGGGGTCCAGGCTCCCACAGCTCCCACCCTGCTCTCGCCCCACTGGGTCATGCCATCCATGATGGGACCACTTGGGCTACTCCATTCTCCCCCTAGGTAACTTTCTGGTTTCTTTGCCACCCCATTGTACAAAAAAACGAAGTGAGGGCTAGACAAGGAAGAACAGCTTGCCCGGATGCAGCAGGCAGGGTGAAAACCAGTGCTGGTCCAGCACTTCCCCGCAGCCCCATGGGGGCCTGGATACATCAGCCTAACAATGCCCTGTGCCTCTGGAAGAGCAAGCCAAACTTCTGCACAACAGCAAAAAGGTCTTCTTGCTCAGCAAGCATGCCATTTGGAAGCTGCTTCACAATAGCTTATTAGGGCATCAGAGGAAATACTGGCTTGAATGGAGAAGTATCTGGAACCTGTCGCCACATCCTTCTCCAGGTTGGGAATGTGAGACAACTGAAGCCCAGGCTGAAAGTAATCCTGGGGCCTGGTGTTGTGCCACCTCCCTACTGGGTTCACAGCAGAGCTGCCAGGCCTGCTGGGACTCCTGGCCCCTCTGCCTCAGTCATGCAAAGCCATCTGTAGCCCCTTGGAGTTGGGCAGTTGTCACCTGGGTCCTGCTCCACCCCAGCATGGGCTAAGCGCAGGTGAACAGGCAGGGCAGTGAGAATTAGCCCAGGGCAGGCAGTGCACAGAGGGTGGGGACAGTCCTTGTCTCCTTTATTGAGCATCACCAAGGCACCTCAGCAGTGACCAGGCAGCTGAAGGAAGAGCAAGCAAGTCAGCAGGTAGGGGGCAGCAAGATGCCCACCTTCATTGCCAGCTCTTGAAGAATTGCTTGAAGATGGGGCTCTCATGACCCTGGGACAGAATCTCCACCTACAGGGACAGCAGGCGAGAAGTCTGGCTCATAAGGTTGCCACCTTCAGGGAAGGCTGGAGCCATGGAGGAGGTGCTGGGCACCAGGCTGGAGTCCACAGGCCGTCCAGGCCAGGGATGCTCCTCCAGATAAGCCAAGAGATGAGAAAGAAGGTTACAGGACATGGGCTGTGAAACAGACTACCTCAAGGACTTGGGTGCACAGTTTGATAGATGCACCAGTTATAGGTGAGCCCTATCAGCTCCCCCCGGAATGGCCTGTGGAGTCACCATGCTGGGGCGAGCTGGGGACAGCGGCCCACAGAAGGCCCACAATCCCTGCAAAGGCACACCCAGCTCTCTGGGCTCCCAGGGGAGTTGCTACTTATGTCCTTGTACATTTTGAAGGATTGAGAAGGGCTTCCCACTGACCCAGGGTCTGGAAGGGAGGCCGGATTGTTCCTGACTGTGTCCACATCTTTCCTGTCCTGTCTGAGGGGAGGAGGCCAGAGGAAAAGCCCCAGGAGGGGTCTGGGCTGGGGTGGCTCCTCACCTGAGTGTTTGGGGGGTACCGCATGCGTGAGATGAAGTCCTCAGCCACTTGGAGGGCTGCCTGCCGCTCCTTCTCGTTAGCTTTTTGCCCTGGATCATAGGAAGGAGATCATAATACAAGCAGGGACTCTCTAGCCCACATCCCATTTTTCTTGAGGAAATTTAAAAAGGTCCACAGACTAGCTGGCAACTTTTAAAATAAATGGACAGAAGGTGCTAAGCATGCTCAGGAGATCCTTGGGTTTGAAGTAAGCCTGTTGAGACTGCTCCCAACCCGGCAGCTCCAAGCAGAATGAAAACTGCTCTGCCGCCCACTCTCAGTGTCAATATCCTGCTAGTCCGGGGACCCTGGGATCCTCCCAGAGAACTAGTCTTCTTCTCACTGCATCACTAAAGCCAGGGCCACCCTGGGACCCCTCACCTCTTGGTCTGTCCCCAGTCATTAGTTGTAAAACTAATAGGACAAAAGGGTGTAATTTACTACAGCTTTACTCCCAAAATGCCAGATAGGCACATCTAGCCTATTGGTTATGCCAACTAGGGGCTTATAATAAGAAAATGGTACAGCCATCCATTCCTTCCTGCAGGCAGGCTCTTTAATACAAACTGTGCTCTGGTTTAAGGCATTTTCCAAAGAATCAATGTTGTGAACTGTAATTGGCTCTCTAGCCAGGCTATAAAACTCCAGTTAGCTATGGTGTACTGGAAATTAATGTGCCTTATCCTTCCTCTGTGATTTGACCAGCTACCAGCCAGATACTTCTCTTCCTGGTTCCGACTTTCCTGTTTTTATCCCCTCTGGTTTCTCTTTCCAAAATAGTTGAGTTCTTTGCCTGGGGTTAAATTTGCTTCTCTGTGCATGTTGGGCACTATCCCCACCCCCTGAGAATTGGTCCAAAGTGTGCAGTTTGCCCCCCTCAGTTTAACTGGTAGAAACCATCTAGCTGCTGGTGTTCCCACCCTACGTGAGGCAAGAGCATGTTGCCTGGCAGCCCTGGTATTAGAACACTTAATACTTCCTCATCTTCCTGACCAGGCTGAGGCTGGGCACTTCTCTTGGCCTTGGTTGACCCCAAAAATATTTTTTGAGCAAATGCTATTTTGTCAAGACACTAGAGACAGTCTGGCTCCTGCTTACAGTAAGTTTATAATCTGGTCAGGGAGGTGAGGCACGCTCAAGAAAAGACAGACATGGAGAAGTGGTGAAGGTTCCAGTATCACTCAGACTTAGAGCTTTGTTTCAGCATTTTCCAAGTCAAACCAAGCAAACAGGCTTCTGCACAGGAGTTCCTATTTCCAGCCAATACAATCTCTTGAAAAATCAAGTTCTACCAGTTCACTATCCACTGCCTAAAATGAGGTTTTGTTTATTGAAATTTCAGTCACACCTCCAGGCAGAATAGCAAGATTGGCTCCCAGTAGCCCCGAGGGCCTCAGAGTGCTTGAGCACAGTGGTCTGCAAAAATGTGGCCCTGGACAAGCAGGAAGAGTCACAGAACATTAGATATGCAAATATTCAGGGGGAGGGGTTACAGCCATCCGTTCTAATATCCTCTTGGGTGACTCTGTGCCAAGCTCAAGTTCCAGAGCCACTGCCTAGAATTTAGGGGGTGGGAATAGTGAAGAGGAACCCCCAGCAGTTCCAAGGCTCCCTGAAAGCAGCCATCAGGCTGAGCCCTCCACTGGGAAGCCAGCCCAGGTCGGAGGAGCTGCAGAGGTCTCAGCTGGAGTGGAGGAGCCACACGTACCCTTCCAGATGTAGATCTTGCCACAGAGCCCGTTGTCCAGCACGAAGCAGTCATCAGATACCAGCAACTCCAGGGCAAAGGGGCTGGAATCAGCCACCTTGGTCAGGTTCATCTGCCCAGTGGCATTAGAGACCTGGGGGAGGACAAGCAGTGCCAGACCCCGCCCTCCTTGCCCTAGCACACAGCCTTAACCTCTGTCCCCCGCACTGCTGCCCCCTCCCACGGCCCTAGGGCAGATGGGACCAGGAGTAGAGCACTGCCAGGCAAATCCCAGCCACCCCACCCCTCACATGCCCCTCAACCACTGTAGCTCAGCCCCAAATTCATTTGGAAATGAAGTGGATTCCAAATTATGAATAAATGCAAAGAATCCAAAAAAGTAAAGCTCAGCATTGGCTTCAAGCCTCTTCTCAAAGAATGGGCCAGCAGTGAAGTGGCATTTCTCTCCTTAGGACTGCCTGACATCCATCCACTTCCCGTCTCTTCTCACTCCAAGCCCTGGGTAAACCACCGTGGTGCCCAGCTCAACCGTTCCACTGCTCTCGTCTCCCTTCGGTGGCGTGTACCAGGCTCCCAACCCCAGCAGGTCCCAGGCAGAGCTGGAGTGCCCACCTTGTACAGAGCTGCAGTGCGGGAATTCACCTGATCAGCCATGAGGTCTTCTTCAGGGTTGCCCTCCTTCAGAACAGGCTTAGGGCCCAGGACCTGCAGAGGCCAGGGCAGGCCAAGTTCTCAGGAATTCCTGGGCACCTGCCCCAGTCCTTCCCCACCCGTCAAGCCCAGGTGGGCAAATTCTCCTGCCTGCCTAAAGGTACCCTACATAGGTGAATGAAGACTGGGTCCAGCACCCCGCCACTTGCAGGCCACTGGTCCATCTGCCCAGGGGGTACTTACTCTGAATCACACAATGGCACCCTATAAGCTAGGCAGTCTGAGAAGTGCCCCCGATGTGCCATCCTCCACCAAACCCCTTGTCCCCCCCAGCCTCTCAGCAGCTTCCAAGCAGAGGCTCCCAGCTGTCCACCCCAACATCCCCTCAACCTGGATCATCTCAGCAGGCTCCTCCCCATCGGTGACAATCTCCACCCGGGCCTTGCCCTGTCGCTCACTGTCCCGGATGGCCAGGGCCAGGTCCCGCGCCTTGTTGCGCTCCAGGATATTGGACTTTGCACCACACCAGGTGAAGATGTTCTGAGGGAAATGGGGAGGCTTGGGTTAGAGTTGGCAGGTGGGTGGCTGAAGAACTGTCCCCGGAGGTGAGACAATCAAAGACAAGCAAGAAGGCAAGAGGGAAAACAGAGGTCTCGCTGAGAATGGGGCCCAGCCCCCATCTCCCTCCTGATTTATTTTTCTCCAGATCCCTCCCTTCTCAGCATCTATTTAAACATCTTTATCTTGTTTATGATCTGTCTCCCCTGACTAGAAATTATGCGTCACCAGAGCGTAAGTGTTCCACTGGACCAGCCGCACTTTGTGCACTGCTGTACGCCCAGGGCTGAAACAGAGACTGGCACATGTTTGGCACAAAACCGATACTGAGTGAATGAATGAAGGAGTGAATGAAGAGGCAAATGCCACTCTTGAGCCCAGAACAGCACCCTCCTACCTGTGCCCCTGCCAGACATGGCCCTCACCACCCTTCCCCTGCCAGCATCGCACCACTTCTGATCCTCCTTCCAACAGCTCTTGGGTTGATCTTCTGCCCAAAATCTTTGGCACAAGATGCAGTGCAGACTCCTCAGACAAAGCCAATCTCTTTGTGATCTGGGTTTCACTCTCCACATTTTCTCTCCCACTGCTCTTGTACCCACCCAGGGTCCCAGTCAAACAAGACCCTTCCCTGCTGTGCACAGACATGTTAGCTGTGCTCAGGGCCTCAGCTCCCAGTCCTTCACCTGGAAGGGCACCTCACCTCCATGAAGGTCCAGCCAAATGGTACCTTCCTGGGACACCAGCTTTGGCTCAGGCTAGAGGGCCCCTCCATGCCCCAAGCTCCTCCCACACATGCGGTCACCTCTCTCAGCCCTCCACACATCCTGCCATGGGCTATAGCAAGTGACAGGCCCATCCCTGCTGCCTTCCCAGGGCAAGTAGTCTGTGGTCCCTACGCTAGCTCCGAGCGGGCATCATTGACTGAGTGGACAGTAAGGGAATAAATTAACGAATGGCCTGGTAGGCAGCTAACTCAGAGTTAGCAAGCCTGCAAGAGAAGGAGAGAGTAGGCCCCGAGGTACAGGCAGTGGCTGGACAGCAGAGGGGGGTTTCTATCCTTATGAGCATAAGGATGTCTTCTAACAGCTGGAGCAGTCACACTCAGAATGGGCTTAGAGCTTCTCAGCATCCTTCCCTCTCCCCAGGCCTCATGGTCCCTGCCTTTTTAAAAGACGGTGCCAGTACAGAGTGCTCAGTCTTGCCCTACCTACCCACCTGGCCCAGGTCCAGGATGAAGCAGTCCCCAGTGTTGAAACTGTCCCAGCTCAGCGCCTGCTCTGTGGCACGGATGTTCTTCTTCCCCTTCACCTGGTAGAGTTTCTTGATGGGAGCTGGGGTGGTCCCTGGGGAGGTCTTGTGAAATGCCGACTCCACTCCGCCCTCCTGCAGTCCAGCCAGCCAGCCTGAGTGGGCCAGTGGGAGGCCCCGAGCCTTCCCTTCCCCGTCCCATTGGGAGATGGGCAGAAAGGTGAGGAGGACCCAGCTTCCTAAGGCACCTGGGCTTTTTGCAGGGTAAGAACCAGCTGGCAGTGGGGCTGACTCTGAAAGAAACCACAGGGTAGGGGCCCAGGACATGGGCTCTGACCTGGTACTTGACGCCATGTGGGAAGTAGCTCATGAAGAGGTCGGACTCATTGCCCTGCACCTCTCGATGCTGCACAGGCCGATCCCCAAGCAGGGTGTTGAGTTGCACAGCGAGCATAGCACAGGCCCCCTGCTCATCTCGGGATGACTGCTGGCCTGTGGCAGGCGGGAGGTGGCAAGGCAAGACCCTTGAGACCCATGCAGCCCTGGCTCCTGCCCAGGCCAGACTCACATCCCCACCCAAGTCCCCGCAGTCACCTACCTATCCACATGTGCAGGTGGGAGAACTCTTCCAGGCCATTGTACAGAACAAGGTAGGAGTCCCCGGAGAAGAAGATGCCCTGGTTCTCGCGAGCTACTGGCACTGGCTTCAGCTTCTCCACCCGCCAGATGTGCAGGCCAGGAGAGCGCACCAAGCCCGGGAATGGAGAGCCACTGTGGGCGGGGGGAGGATTAACAGTGGCCAGGGCCCGTGAGAATGGACCCAAGCAGAGATCCAGGGGGCCTGGGCAGGCCTGGGAGGAGAGGTCATGAGGAAAGCCAGCCCTTGGAAGTGAAGGAGGAGGGAAAAGGGGAGGGGCACACAGCCTACCTCTGGGGAAGGGGTGTGTACATGCTGTTTCCAGATCTGGAAAGACAGGAGAAGCCATTGTTATTACTACTATCATGACAACCACTCTTCATTTTGGTCTAGGGAGGTCCTTCCAGCTGGCCAGGTGTTACTCTATTCAGCAACTGCTTCATCTCCAAGTGCCTGAGAGATTATCCCTGTCTCCATTTTGCAGGAAAAGAAACTGAGGCAGAGAGTCTAAGTCCAAAGGCACACAGCTAGTGGGTGGCTAGTGAAAACCATATCTCTGGCTCCTGGGCCAGTGTCTTTCCCTTGCTGTCACCTCTCAGTCACACCTCTCTTCTGCTTCCAGACCCCTAACTCTGGGCATTACATGAGGTGGGGATACAGCACTCTAAGAAATAACTGCTTATATTAGAAAAGTCTAAAATCAATGACTTCAGTGCCACCATAAAAAAAAAAAGAAAAAGAAAAGCAAATTAAACCCAAAATAAGCAGAAGAAAATGATAAAAAGAATAGAAAACAAAAAATAGAGAAAAATTAATGAAGCTGGTTTTTGGATAAAATTGATGAACTTTTAGATAAACTGATTAGAAAAAAAAAAGACACAAATTTCCGACACAGAAACAAGAGAGATGACATCACTACAGATTATACAGATATTAAAAGGATAAAAAGAATATTACACAAACTTTATGCTAATATATTCAATAACTTAAGGAAATGGACAAATTCCCTGCAGGATACAAATTATGAAAGTTCACTCAAGAAGAAATAGATTACCCGAATAGTTATATCCATTAAAGAAACTGAATTTGTACTTTAAAACTCCACCACCACCACCACTCCACCCTGCCAAAAAAAATTCCAAGTCCAGATAAATTCTAGCAAAAAATTAAGGAAGACTTCTCTGGAAAAGAAGAGAGAACACCTCCCAATTCAGTCTACACTGTCAACATTATCCTGATATTACAAAACCAGATAAATATAGAAAATTAGATTAATGTCCTGCAGTAACATAGACAAAATTTTAGCATATGTAAGTCAATAATACATAAAAAGTAAAAAACATCATGATTAAATGTGGTTTATCCCAGAAATGCAAAATCGGTTTACATCTGAAATTAATGTAATCCACCCACCAACAAACTAAATATATGTGTATATACATATATAATTACCTCAATAGATATCAGAAAAAGCATTTAGCAAAATTCTATATCCATTCCTGATTTTAAAAAACTTCCAACAAACTAAGACTAGAAGGGAACTCCCTTAATCTTATAAAAAGCATCTAACCAAAACAAACAAAAAACTCTACAGCTAACATTAGACTTACTGCCTCTCCTAATTCTAATTTCCCTCCCTGGGGAATGTCACCCATTCCCAGGCATCAAGCGATCACTTCTAGATGCCCAGCTCCCTTCAAATGCCAGGAAGATGAACATCATCCTTATTCTGTCAGTCAATGAGAGCAACCTTTTTTGGACAGAAGTTCTTAGGAAAAAAATAAATGCTATTAACTTCCCTTTCCTCCCTCTGCTCTTACTTGCTCTCAACTGCCTGTGTGGCTGTTGCAGTTCATTACTACTCTTGCTTTAATGAATCCCTTCCTTACCTGAACTCGCCCAACCTGTTCACGAATTCTTTCTCGATCAGTCAGGAACCCTCTCCCAAGCTGAGTTCTCACCAAGGGCTCAGAGAGATCTCCCTGGACTGGATTGCCCGACAACATTTAACCAGGGAGTTATTAGGAGGGAAGATTCCTAACATTTTATGGTGATTAGACAACTGACCTATCTTAAGTCACGGCAAACAGTACTAAATATGTTTTCACTACTTGAGGGTAATCATTATCTTGGAGAAGAACAGGATCAATAAATTCCTTATGTTAAGTTTATCTTAAAGAATATCTAAAGGACTGACTATAGATGGTGACAAAATGTCTGTCACTAGAGATAGACATCCTGAGACCATATGTCAAGCCTACACTCCCCTGGCCCTTTACCCCATTCTTGAAATCCTTAAAAAAAAAAACCACAAATGCTAAATCTTTAAGAGCATCTCTCCTCTGAGGCTGCCCACACTCCCCTTTCTTCGAGTGTGTATTTGCCTTAAATGAAGCCTCTTGCTGCTCAACTTACTGCGTTTTGTCTCCTGCTCTTCCAAGCCTCTGGGAGGTTAATAAGAGACTCCTTCCCTGGTGGTAAGCATCTTTGTTACTTTATTACTTCATTAAACTGTCTAGACTTAAGCACAGATCTTCACTCTCTCTGTTCTACTTCTGACAAGTAGGGAAGGGATACTGAGATCTCTGATTTGGGCTTGCAAGTTCCCATCACCTGGGTGACCCAGCCAGGACTGTTAGCTGTACCACGTGCTCTTTAGTAGCCTGTCCAAAAATCTCCTTTCTTTGTCTTGAGGAAGTTCTCAGAACATAATCTCACTTCATCCAGTGCTTCATGGCTCCCCCAAATCCTAGAGTAGTAGGGGCCTAGTTCCCACACCTGCAGATCAAGCAGACACTGGACATCAGGTGACCCTGGCTTTAAGAGTTTGCAAGGAATTTGCCCTATGCTGAGCAGGAGTTCAATGAACTTCCCTTTCCTCTGTCTGTTCTTCCTTGCTCTCTGCTGCCATCCACTACTACTCTCACTTTAATGCATTCCTTCTTTACATACACTCATCTGACCTGTTTGAGAATTCTTTCTCAATCAGAGTCAAGAACCTTCTCTGGAGTTGGCCTACTGCTCAGGGAGATCTCCCTGAACTGGATTGCCTGACAACATTACTAAAAGGTTTCTTTTTTTGTCTTCAAATGCAGAGCCCACACCAGCCAGCACTGCAGCCCAATTCATGCTGCATTGCTGCACAGTGGTTTATTAGGTGAGTCCCAGTGGTGCCAGGTATGGGGCCTGGCGAATTTCAGGATGAAGAGGCAAATAAGCACCATTAGGAGATTCTTGGGGGCTAGGGAAGCAGGAAGGGTGGGCAGCCATGTTTAGGGGGTGGATTGGAGAAGAAAGGGTGTTGAGTCTAAGTAGGAAATAGAGAAACAGAAGCAGTGATAATAGATAGAAAACCACCATTTTGGGGGGTGTTTTATACCAACAGATCATAAGGAAATTATGAACAGGTATGGGCCTGGCGAATTTCAGGATGAAGAGGCAAATAAGCACCATTAGGAGATTCTTGGGGGCTAGGGAAGCAGGAAGGGTGGGCAGCCATGTTTAGGGGGTGGATTGGAGAAGAAAGGGTGTTGAGTCTAAGTAGGAAATAGAGAAACAGAAGCAGTGATAATAGATAGAAAACCACCATTTTGGGGGGTGTTTTATACCAACAGATCATAAGGAAATTATGACTTTCCTTTTTCATTCCAAACTTACAACATAGCTGAAGGCATTTTTTGGAACCACATTCTCCCAAATTGGGAGGTAGTTTGGGGGAGGGAAACTACCATTTCTCCATCCCACAGAAGATCACATGCTGTGCCCACATCCCCTGCAGCAGGCAGCTGAGCATGTGACTCAGGGCTGAGGTGGTCAGGCGGCTGCCCCAAGCCCAAGGCTGTGAGGAGAGCTTGGGAAGAGAGATGGTGTGAATGCGGGGGCCAAACTGTCTGCTTCACTATTTTTTGTTCTGTGTTACCAATCTGAGAGCTCAGGGCATAATACAGAAGCAGGCAGCCCACGCATGGGGACTGATGGCCTTGGAGAGCCACTGCAAGGGTCCCATGCAGGGGGTGGCTGCCTGCCCCGTCATCACTCTGGCTCTCCACCCTGCTTGCCTGTGAGAATTCCCTTGGGACCTTATAAAAACATAGATGCCCAAGGCCCAGGCCTGGAGATTTTGATTCCACAGGTCCGGAGTGGGGCCTGTGCATATACATTTTGAACGTATGTTCCAGGTGATTCCAATGCTATCAGTTAACTCTGTCCAGCGTCTCACATTGGCCTCGCATGAGAACCATCCAAGGGGAGGGGGGACTTTCAAACAACCCCAATTCCCGGGCTACATACCAGATCTGTTAGAATCAGACTCTTTGGGGTGGAGCTTGGGATATCAGTGTTTGATAAGTTCCAGGTGAGTCCAGCGTCAGGGCTGAAGCTCCTGCTGCCCCATCAAATCCCTGCCCCTTAGCCTTTTCTGCTCCAGGCTCTCACAGGTAAGGGTCCACCCTGACATCTGGCTTTTCACTCTGTCCTCTCTCTCTGGGCCCCTGGGCCCAAGCCCACAGACCCTTGAGCTTTCTCAGTGCACGTGTCTATTAAAGCCCACCACCCCTCTAGGTCCCTATCAGGCCCTAGCTGTCCATGGAGTCGTCTCAGCCCACTCCTGGGGATGTACACTCCAGTCCCTGCCTGCAGGCTGTCCTACAGCATGACCTGACTGTCTCAACCAGAGCAGGGCACATGCTTGGTACCACTGAATGCCTTAGGGGTCTATTCAATTCCATTCAAGGTCTATGCTGGGAGCTTAGCACAGGGCTGAAGAGGTTGGGGGTGGGCACAGAAATGAAGAATACCATGTCCCATGGTCAAGCTGGAGGGGGCTGAGAAGGAGGGAGCCATCACACCCAGTGAGACTGCACACAAACTTCTCCAAGGTGGGGAATGTCACAGAGTCACAGATGGCAGCATGGAGATGAGCCTAAATGCTATCAGAAGGTCAGACGCATGCCTGCTGGCTGTCCCATGGCCCGGACTTTAGGAAGGAGGCTGCCTTTGAGGACACAATGGGGGACCCACGGGCGGCGGGGATGGGGGTCACTGTTACACATACCTTCACTGTCAGACAATGAGAGCCGCCAGTGATATCTGTGCTCTCCTCAGAAACCGACTCCATGGATGCCCTAGCAGGTCCTTCACTCCTAGGCCCTGTTCACCCCTAGCTGTGAAATGAAATAGCCCCCTACCCCTCTCCCCAAAAAAGGGTGGAGGGGTGAGTGTCAACACTAGAGACCGGATCTTCCCAGCCTGGGATTTGGGCATTCTTGGAACTGGGTCCAGAGACCTCGTCTGGGGACACTGCAGCCAGGGCTCTCACCCTGACACCAAGCAGGATTCCTATCCCCCAACACCCCCCCTCCACTTCTACCTCCCTCTCCTCCCCCCACACTACCTCAAGCCACTGACCAGACCCTCAGGGGGTATATTGAATATGCAAAATAATGTGCTATAGGCTTTGAATTCACTCTGCCTGCTGGGCCTGCTCTGCCCCCTCCTCCAGTTCCTCCAGCCCAGCCCACCAATCTCCAATCACACTGCAGTCCAGTCTTAGGCACAGGTCTCCTCACATCTGAATGCCCCTCCCGGCTGGCTGAGGACCTCCAAAACTGCTCACTCGAGTGTGGTGGCCTCTATCAGAAGAGGCAAGTTTCTCATCAGTGCAGTGAGCACAACCCACCTTCTCCAGTGCTTCAACACTCCAGTCAGACCTTGTACCTGGAACCTGGTGCAAAGCTGCCAGGACAGTGAGCTGGGGAACACCGGTCCTGGACAGAACGGCTTCCTGAAACATGAGTCTGTTTCCAGCCCAGCAGCCAGCTCTCACCTGCCCACCTAAGAGGGTTCTAGCCAGCCCAGTGCCAGGGGCCCACTCCCCTCAGCCACCAGCTGAGGCTCTTCACCTTTCTGCAGCTCTCCCTCCACCTACTTCTGCTTTTCAGGCTCTTCTTCTCAGCCAGCCCCACCCCAGCTTCTCACTTCCCTCTGAACCCCCAGGGGCTGCCCTACCCATCTGCCACCTCTCGGCTCCTTACCCAGCTCATACTGGGGCCCCATCCATCCTCGGACAACAAGCACCGAGGCAGAGGGGCTGCCAGGCGGGCTCCTCAGAGGCACCCACAGGGAGCTAGAGGGCACCCCTGCTCGGGGCCTCCCCACAGTAGCCTCAGCCAGTCAGCATCTCTGAGTGTAGAACCTGCCAGGAGAACCACTGGCAGCCTTGGTGCTCACCAGCCTTGGGCAGGCGCATTTGCCCAACCCCAGCCTCCCAGCCTCTGCTGAGCTAGTCACATTTCCTGGGTGGGGTCACTGCCTGTGCAGTGACTTTCTCCTCTTCTTCCAGACTTGTCTTTCTCCTTGTCCTAAATGCATAAATTTGATTTTGTTTACAGCTCTGTTCTGAGGGAGTGGCTGATGTCTGTGAAACATTTTTTGCCGTGTCTCGCATGCCAAATGCCTCTCAAGTCTACCCTTGGTCAGCTTTCTATCACCCTATGAACTTTACTATCACACGATCTGAGCACTGGGTGCCCTGATGGACAGCAATAAAAATATAAGCAGGCTTCTATGGTTGGTTAGCCAGAGATGGGTAAGATTCCTCAAGGGAGGAACAACCTAAGACAGGCACAGTCACAGGGGGGCCATCAGAAGAGAAATTGGGGATCAACAGAGGGGAGGCTTAGAACCTCACCCCCCCTGTTTTGAGAGAAATCTTCTGCATCCGTGGATGTTTTGTTGCCCTTGTCTAGCTTAGATTAATACTTAGTCAATAGGCACAGACCTGATCATCTACATTTGCCCTCTTACAGCACTAAATTATGTTTTCTACCTTTATCTTGCATCTACCTACCACTTCAGCATTTTAGTAAAAAAAAAAAAAAATACAGGAGAAATGTGGGATTCTCATATAAATCAAGTATAAAAATCAAATGGATAATCATATCTGACTTGATTATTCATAGTTCATGATGCATGATCAAAACCGAAAGTTTCTGTGATATGACTGCCCTTGTACTGTTCACCATGTAAGAACTTATTCACTATGTAAAAACTTGTTCGTTATGCTTCAGAAGATTGGAGACTGTTGAGAAATAGGCTTGGGGTTGATTAATGACTGTGCATTGAGTCCCCTATACAGAATTTTATTGTTGTTAACAACCATTTGATCAATAAATATGAGAGATGCCCTCTCAAAAAAAAAATAAATAAATAATAAGTAGGCTTCTTGCTCCACCCAGGGGCCATCTTGCCTACATTGCATCACAGGACCCTAGGGCTAGTCTGGTTCAACTCGCTTGCTCACTTTCTAGAGAAGGCTAGTGAGGCCCCTGAGAGCACAAGTTACCTGCCCTCGCTCACTCAGGGAGCGAGAGGTAAGACAAGCTTGCACTCCCTTCTGAATCCGTGTGGAAGGATATGGGCATCCTCAGAACTGGGTCCAGAGACCTTGTCTGGGGACACCGCAGCCAGTGCTCTCACCCTGATGCCACTTGTCCACTTTCACCTCCCTCCCCTCCCCGCACACGACCAGAGGCAACAGACCAGACCCTCAGGGGGGTATTGTTGAATTTGCAAAATAATGTGCTACAGGCTTTGAATTCACTGTACCCGCTGGGCCTGCTCAGACCTTCCTCCAATCACGTCGGGATAAAGTGGAGTCTGAATGTTCTCCGGGAGAAAGGGAGCGCCCAGTTACTCAGCCACACGTGTGGCTCCTCGGCCCAGGACTCCGGCAGCCTGTCTTGGATGCAGGCCTGCCCTGGCTCAGAGCTGGTAACAGGCTAGAGATAAGGCTCAGCCTTTAGGGTCAAGGCACCACCAAGGGGCTGTAGTGTGGGCAATGGAACTAAATCAATCAGTGTGTTAAAATCTTTGGATCAGAGCACGATAAAAGTTAAATGTTCTCTTCAAAGAACACACACTCTAACTGGCATCTGAGTGTGTCCATGACCAAATGGCTGGCCTTAAAAATAGGGTGATCTGGATTGGAATCCCAGCAGGCCATGTCCCCATGAGAACCAGAGGCTGGGCGGATAACAGGGTGGAGTAGAAAGAGTTGAACAGTTTGGCTACTTACTGGCTGTGCTTCCTCCCGCAAGTGACTTAACCTCCTGGAGCCTCCCTGTGCCCAGTATCTAAAACGGGCATAAAGATAATCATGAAGCTTAAATGCGATCGTAAAATTAATTAGCAAGTAATAGTTACTCAGTTAACCTCCCCAACAGTGAGAATTTAGTAGGGGTCCTCAGTATATGTGCCCAGCGCCTTGGCAAGTAATACCCCTGCCCTCTGCCCCAGCTCTGGGTGTAGGGGCAGTGGGATGGGAAGGTAAACCACAGGTCACCCCTCCTCGCCCTGCCACACCCCACCCTTGGGAGGTTCACCCACTCTTGTCTGCACCCGTATGGGACAAGGGTGGCTCTTAAGTTCTGGGCTCTGTGCACCTACGAGGGCACAAGGATGAATGGGATCAGCGTTCACACTTGAGCCTTCCCTGGGTAAAGGTGACCCCATCACCCCAGGAACAAAAAAAGTTTGCAAATTATCGAAACAAAAGAGCAGGTCACAAGCCTGGGAAGTCTCGGGCGCCTTGGAACTCACAAACAATGCACAGGCTAATGACGTTATCTGGTAATCGGACTCTAAAACTCATTTTTAAAAAATCAGACTTACACTTTTCCTCCTTGTTCGGCTTCCCCCCCTCAGGAATGCCCAATGTTTGTACCAAACAGAGTAAAATACAGCACTCCGGAGCACGGACCCGCCCTCTGCCGCCCCTCTTTACGGGAAGCGAAGAGGGGGGATTAGACTCGCGGTGCGCCCCGAATAGGAGAGGGGGGAGGAGGCGGCCCCGGACCGCCCGAGCCCCTTAGACCCTTACAGGGGGAGCCCGGCGCCCGGTGATCTGACCCCGGAGCTACTTGCCTGCCAGCGCCTCTCTCTGTTGCTCTGGTCGCTCGCCGCCCCTCGAGGTGAGCAGCTAGAGGCCGCCCGGGGTGAGTCAGAGGGAGGCGCCGGCCGGCCTGGGCCGGCTGGGGGCGCTGCTGAGCCCGCCCCCGCAATTGTTCTGCCGCGGGAGACGGAACCGAAGGGGACCTAGAACTGGTGAAGCTGTGCAAAAGTCTTCGCGAGAGGATTGCAGCGTTTGCAGCCCGCAGTGCTCTAAATATTATCTTGTTCTGTCCTCACACCTACCATCGTTATTATGCTTATTAGATGAAGTCTCAGAGAAGGTAAGTAATTTGTCCAGGGTCACACTGCCAGTTAACTGGCAGAACCAGGATTCAAATCCAGGCTGGTCTGTCTTCAAAGCCGATGCTAGACCTGCAACTCCTCACCCTCCTCTCTATTCAGAAGAAAACAGGCCAGCCAGTGTTCACAGGGAGGCCAGGCCTTACAGGAAGTAAGTCAAACAACAAATAGTCCACACTTCCACCTTAGCTTCTGAATGGAGAGGGCCATGAGCAGCAGGCAAACCCCAAAGGATGTCAGCTGACAAAACGTATCAGGATCACGGCATCATACCACTCTCCCTCCGCTTGTCCATCCTCCTCTGACTAGGGCTCACACCCCAGAGACTCAGCTTCTATGTCCCTCTGAAACATGCAGTGATCCTTGACTCTCTCCTCCATGGCTCCCTGGTGTTCTGGGCATCAAGGCCACTGGGCCATCTCAATCTACACCCTCCAAGGGAAGACTTTTCAGCTACACTCTATTAGCAAAAGTGGAATTGTATCCATGGGCAACCTAGTCAGCTCCTGGCCCACTTCCCAACACCTGGGCCCTGCCAAGGCACTGCCAGCCATAGTGCTCCCAAGGGCATCCCTATTCTCTACATTTTTGGGTAAAATTTACAGTGAAATGCACAGATCATTAATGTATGAGCTTTGGTATGCAAACACCCATGTAACCCACATTCCTGTCAAGATACAACATCTCTACCCCTGCTCCCCCAAAAAGATCCCTCGTACTCTTTATCATCTGTCACATACACCCCTCTCCCGCCACATCACTAGCTCCTCCAGCCGAGGGACTATGTCAGGTTATCCTTGTTAACCCCAGCACCCAACAGAGCACCCACAAGGTAACAGACACTCAAATTTTTTTTTACTGAATGTGTATCAACAGATTAGAGAGCAAAATCCCCACATTCTAGTACTGCCCCAGCCTATGTCGCCCTGGGAAAATTGCTTAAACCTACTGAGCCACAGGTTCCTCACTTACGAAATGAGGGCAGTAACCCAGCCTGCCTGCCTAGGGATTGTGGGGCTCCAATGAGATGACCTATGGGAGGTTCTTTGAGAAGAATAAAAGTTCTGGACTTGTACAAGGTGCTACTGCCATTATTATTAATAAACTACTTCTAGAACAAAATCTGGCTAAAAGAATCCAGGAGAGGGAGGCCTTAGACACTGACTTCTGGGATTGGCTGCTTGGGCTCTGGCCAAAGTCTGGGGCTACCCAAGATGGCCAGCTTTCTGCTTCGGTTCCCATTGACTGTGTAATGGATTATTATAGGCTGTGTAATGATTTCCAGAGCTAAGAGCTTTCTGAAATTGCAAAAGATTCTCGCTAAGTGAGTTCCCAACCTGGCTTCTAACTTCCCTGCCATATGGGCTTCTCTGAGTCTTTCCACCTGTAAAGTGCAGCCACCAGACAAGGAGTCCCTTCTGGCTCCTCTGACCTCAGTCCAGAGGTA